ATCGCTCTTGCGACATCTGATGGGAAAATAAAAAAGCCAGTCATGTCTGCCGAGCAAATTGGCCCATCTCTTCAGTAAGGGAAATCCCAGTATCTTGAACAGAGGAAGTCTAAGGTCTATCCTTTTAGGAATGATTGTCTTAGGAAGATGCTCAAGAACCTGCTTAAGCAGGGAATGCAGCTCCCACCGCCAAATAAACCTCACGAGGTGGAGAGGACGAAGGAGCCTGACTATTGCCCATACCATAGGCATCTGGGGCATGTCCTGGAAGACTGTTATCCTTTCAAGGATTGGCTTGAGGCCCGGTATAATGCAGGAGAAATAGAGATACCAGATCAGTACTTGGAGAAACCCCAGGGGAAAGGTTCTGTGAAGATTGTGACAGTTATTCCAACTCATAGTTTTTTTTTTTTGATATTTATCTTCTTGCTTGTAACGCAGGAGTGGATTGTAGTGCTCCTCCTGGCACATTTTATGATGATAAAGATATAAAAGAAGAATCTTCTGATTATGTCTCTGTGTCTCATGTTCTTATACTTGATGATTATGATATCAATGACTCTGATCATGTTGATGTGGAAGATGAACAATACCCATTATTGCCCTCCTCGAGCGGTACATGTCGCATTTACGATTATTTGAGTGATACATCTGCTGATGCAGGTGAGGCCTTCGTGCATGAGGGCTTCTTTGACGAGCCTTCTGCTGAATTTGTCACTGAAGTCGAACCCATTGGTTCCTCTAGTGAGAAGGTTCAGGAAATTCGCCTTAGAAGTGGTAAAATTCTCCCTCCAAGAGTATCTTTGCCCAATTCTACGGATAAGGGAAAGGGTATCATTACCCAAGAAGTAGATGACCACCCTGAAGTCCAAAAGGAAGGCTTTAAAAATCAAGGCTTTAAAGATTCTCCTAAAATTGTAGACTATAACGTATTAGCGCACCTCAAGAGGTTGCCATCCGCTTTGAGCATCTATGATGCACTTCTTCTTTCTCCCGAGTTGAGAGAGACTTTGATTAAAGCTCTGCGTGAGCCCGAGGTCTTCTATGCACATTATGCGGAGGAGAAAATGAAGGAGGCGGCTATGCCTCCAGATGTGGTTGTCGTTACATGTACTGAGGAGGACTTGCTTTTATGCACCACGGACCATAACCGTCCCCTGTATGTTACAGCCGGAATCTACGGGAATCCGTTAAACCGTATCCTAATAGATCCTGGCGCTTCTGTGAATATTATTAGTGTCCGGACTCTTGAG